GCACTGGCAGATGCTATCAATGAGTTTGAGGGAGGAATGATGCTTGTCAGCCATGACTTCAGACTCATCCAACAGGTAAGGACAGGTGTGAGTTTTGTCAGAGCACCTTTCTAACATTTTAGTCATGAAAACAAGGTGTTTTCAACTGACTGGCTCTTACTCATCCCAAAAAGATGGGTAAGTGAAAAAGAAATCGTAACTCCCTTTCTGCAATGTTAAACAATTGCTGAGCTAGCCCAGGAAAACATTAGGTACTTAAAATAAAACAAAAACCACCACAAATGTGAAGTGCTGATCTATCCGCTATAGCTTTGGCTGCAAGTTCAGATATGATTTTATTTTTCACTGTGATAGATCCAAGTAGTTCAGGTCAAGAACTACTTTTGTTTCAATTACCAATTTAGCAAGAAAGGCTTTTCATCTTAGTCCATGAACAAAACCAGAAATACAGAGGGGCCTGGGACTTTCAGTTCTAAAATCTTGTACAAATTATGCAGAAAACACGTATCTACAGGGAAATGTTTCCCTGTAGATACTTTTCTTTGGTAGTCTAAATGTGAAAGTTATCAAACTTTTCTTGCAAAACTTCAGAGAGTAGTTTTTAGTTAACTTTATAATTTTGGCAAGATTATAGAAATTTGTACTGCAAACCTCTTTGCTGTTCCTCCTCCTCCTCGTGGTGTGCTGGCTCTCAGGTCGCACAGGAGATCTGGGTCTGTGAGAAGCAGACAATCACCAAGTGGCAAGGGGACATCCTTGCCTACAAGGAGCATCTCAAGTCGAAGCTGGTGGATGAGGACCCGCAGCTCACCAAACGGACCCACAACGTGTGAGCTGAGGAGCCCCAGGCCTGGCCACGGCGGGGCAGAGCTGCTGCTCCCTCTGGCTGTGTTCTAGGATTGCTGCAATACTGCTTCCCCTCGACTTGCCTTGCACCTCCGTGTCTGGACAGAGCTGTTCTCCTCTGATCTGGCTACATTTGGGCAACTGTTTCCTTATCTAGACAACGTCCCATCTGAGCCAGGCCTTGGAATCTGTTGGCTTGGGGTCACAACAGTTGCCATCGGGGTGTCCAAGCTGCAGTGATACACAAGTGGAGACCCCAGCCCAGCTTCTCCTGCCTTTTCCTTCCCAATTTCTGCTTCAGTTTAGATACTTCAAACTCCTCTGGCCTTGGTTTGTTTTTAACTATTATTTAACAGTGTAATTAACAGATCTGCCTGAGAATCCATCAGTCAATAAAGAGAGAAAAAGAGTCTTGCCTTGTTTTGTGAGCCATGGTAGTTGGGTTGTGCTGGGTTAAGTCAGCAAGTCTTGAGCTTTGAGTGAGATCAGCCCTTCCTGCTAAATGCTCAGCTCCTCAGTAGAACCAAAGCTGTGGTCAGAACCTGAGAGGTGTGGAGTGGTGAGTGCTGAGCTTTGGAGGCACTGAGCAGGGCCCTCACCTGGGCACCTGAGCTCAGCCACACTGAACACTGCATTTCCAGCGAGTCCCTGAACAGGCCACGGGTGCCTCTGTCATGGACAGTGACAGACACAACCTGAAAGTGTTCTGAAGATCATTGTTAGAGGCAGAACACAGACCTGTGGAACACCAGCCTGTGTTCTTACAAACACACTGGCTCAGGTGCGGCGTTTTGCTTCACCTTGAATTGTCCAATAATAAGACTGAATAATGTAGGAATTTTGGACTCTGAACTAGTTCCTTGTTCCTTGCAGGTTTAACTAAAGGCTAATCAACTTAAGCTGATTTAGTTGTAGAAGTTTAATTGTTATTTTTGTTCTCAGTAACAGATTTTTGGAAAAGTTGGTGTTCAAACCTCACCCTGAGCCACAGAAGCTTGAATAAAATACATTTTTAATTTAGTACTAGAATAAAAGGTACTAAAAAGAAAGGTAGGTAGCAAATTGAACCTAATAGGTTTTTTGATCGTAAGTCATCGTTTTAATAACTTCTGACCCATGAGAGTGACAGCCCACAGGCTTGTGTAGCCCAGCAGCCCATCTGGCAGCACGAGTGCCTGGGTGAATGGAAGGACAGGACAAACGAAGGAGTTGTGCTCCCATGCAGAGCATTCTTTGGTGCCAACTGACTGACTTTGACTTATAAGAAGTCTTTCCTTATTTTTCTTTCCCAAAGGGCCCATCCAAGTTGTGACTGCTGCTGTGGAAGCACTGAGTGTCATCCACAGGACGAATGTGAGCTGCTTCCAGTAGATCAAAAAGGACCCTTCAGGTTTTTACCGGTTCTAGCAATGACCTGAGAGGAGAAAAATAATATGTTTTCTGGGAAAATAATGCCAGTTAGTTTAAGTGCTTCCAAGTTAGTTTTGCAGAAAGGTCTAGATGGTAGTAAATGTCACCTGGATTAATGTCTCACAGTGGAGGACTTGGAAGTTACCAGATAGAGTGAGGGTGTGAAAACTCACAGGGAAGTGATTACTCAAAAGACTGATGGGCCACAAAGTTTAACAATAATAGATTAATACAGGTCTGTTTGTGCTCCTCTTTGAAGTGCTGGTGAGTTGGAAATGGTTGTGAAGTAGCTCTGAGAATGGTGAGGTCAGAGTCCTTACTGAAGCTAGAGCTATTTGTCCTGTACTTCTTTTCCTTACTGAAGATTTGGCAACAATTCATTTCACTACATTTCAGATCTGCAGTAATAAATGGAGGATGCAATCTTACACTGAGTTCTTTGAGAATGGTAAATCCTGAGAATGGCTGGGGGATGCTGGGATGACAGCCAGCATGATGGGCAGTGGTTGGATCACTGTTGTAGCTCATGGAGCCAGGAAGAGCACTGTCACCTATCTGCTGCTGCAAAGAGAGAGGAACTTCCCAGATGCAGACATGTCTCTGATGTATAAACAAGGGCCACAGATACACGTTTGAAGCAAAAGCAGCTGTAGCTGCACCAGGGGTCACAGTAGGGCAGGACTTGTGAAATGGAATCCATAAATGTGCTTTAACAGCCTTGGTTTAACCTCAGTCTGTTCTGTGGTGGCAGTGTGCTGGGCTGTGCTGGAGCAGCTCTGGCAGACAGATGTCCTGGAGTGCTGATCTCAGAGACAGCAGCAAGCTGAGGCAGTGCCACTTCAAGCTGTTTCAGCTGAGAATTTTCTGGTTTTGCAGAAAAGCAAAACTATTGATAAGTTACAGGAGTTGCTCCTCAGGAGCTGGGATGGTCGTTTCTGTAAAAGAAGTGACCCAGCGCCTGCACAGTCACACTTGCCTGTTGCCCACAAGCAAGGGTGGCTCTAACACAGCCAGAGGGGGCAGGGGCAGGCTCGTGGGATTCCCTTTGCCTGCTGCAGGTAGATCCATACAGCACAAACCAGCAGCAGCACGAGGCAGGCCCAGCACAGCAGCCTGTACAGCCTCTAGCCCATAGAGTCCAGGGAAGCAGAGCGTAATTCTCCAAAGCTGATGGTCCAAAGCTGACTGTACTGCTCTGTGGGCCAGCCTCCACCCTTGGTATGTCAAGACATCCTGCGCCTAATGCTGAGTGACCAGGTGCTGTTCCTCCACCAACGGGCTCCCTTCCAGCTAAATGGGCTTTTTTCAGAAAGGACAGCTGTGTGTTTATCACTGTGCAAGGCTGTGTATCACAAACAGGGTGGTAGCTGGGGAGGGATACAACAGCCCCAGCTCCTTCAGCACAGGAGTCCCTCCCCGTGTGCTGTGCCCAAGGAAACACAGCTCCCATTGCAAGGAGTGGTGGAATGTCCCTCCGAGGGGGACCCTGTACTGCTCCTGACAGCACAGGGCCCCTTAGGAAGCACAGGTGGTGATGTCCCCTGCTCCTCACTGCCAGTATTAGTCACTCCTGTTTCAAGAGGACCCCACTCCACATATCTTCACGAGCCCATTCTCCTTCACAAATGCATTGACATGGCCATTCCAGCCTGCACTGCCTGATCATGAAGGTTTCAGTGTCTGGGAGCAAGAACCTCGCTGTGGCACTGTCCCCCTTGTCACTGTGACAGTTACTTGCACCAGGGGAGGGTTATCAGGGGCCTCCCCGTTAGGACAGGCTGAGAATAAAGTGACTCAGTGAAACACTGTGGGCTGCACAAGCAGCAGCAGAAGCACTGACTGATGAGTAGCCCCCCAGCTCACTCTTTGGGAGATGTGATTTGCTCAGGATGTGCCAGTATGATGTGTGTACCTGAGCAGGAGATTCCACCTGTCAGCACAGAGACTCCCACCAAACCAGGTGTGTTCCCCCACCCTACAAGCATACTGGCATCACCCCTTTATGAAATGGCTGCAGTGGTGTCTGCTGAAAGGCTTCCTTTTCTCTCCAACCTACAGAAAACTCTGTTTTGTTCATGTCCCTGCTATGCTGCTGCACGTTTTTCCTGGCTATGCCTAAATCCTGTGTCACATTTACCCTCACTAGTGTAATAATTGGTTTCCAAGACAGGCCAATCCACACTTGGGGTGTCAGCCCTCCACTGCCCCCCTCCTGACGCTCCCTGTTGTGTGCAGCAGGTGGGATCCCAAGAGCAGGCTAGGTAGCAGGGGAAATTTGGCTGGTAGGATGTTTGCAGTGCCATCCTTTCATCTCTGGACCTATGCTCCCTGCAGTTACTGTGTTTCCCCTGATGGCATCACCTGTTCCATAGAACAGATGTAATTCCATTTGATTCTGGAGTACCTTGAGTATTCCAATTCACAGACTTGCACCAAACTCCTTTTGGACTTGGGAATGGCTCTTCTCTGGTAATGCTGTCCCCTGTAAATCAGATGCTTCTGCTCTTGCCCCTCTTTGCCCCGGTTACACTCAAACTTCTCAGGTATGAAAGTTTAGCTGAATCTGTCACTTCCAAGCTCCTCTCGGGCCAGCTGTTTTTCATTTAGTGCAAAGTGGAATCATCAGCCACAGGTGTGTACTTGTCCTGCTTCTTGGGGGCTGCAACTGAGGCAGGGTAGGTCCTGCTACCTGTGCTATATAACCAGCCCCGCAGCCCTTGCTGGCTGTTCTGTTGGGAGTTAAGATGAGCCCAGAACCTTTGAAGAAACATGGTCATGCTGCTGCCTCTGGGGAAAAAAGATCTAAGAGGAAGCTGAAGAGAAAGGAAGCATTTTCAGTCTACATTTACAAAGTATTGAAGCAGGTGAGTAAATGTTTGTTTTCTGCTAGAAATTACCTTGTACGTAAAGTAACTTCTGCCTGTTGTATGTTAGCACCATAAAGAACAAGGAAGAAAAATCTGGGTTTCTAGAGAGATGGGGAGAGAAAAAACAGTGTAAGTGCAGGTACAGGAGAGGCCCAGCTGAAGCTTAGAAGTTGAAGGGGTGGATTCCAGGGGTAGTAGAGATGGATCCAGAGCAGAAAGTGTTTCCTAGAGGGAATGAGCTCTGGTGCTTAGCTCTGCCTGAAGAAATCATTTCATGAAAGTCAGTACAGTAGAAATAGCTGCTTCTGGCCCTGTGAGTAATGTCTGGTGATTCTTGATGGGGAGATGAGAGCATTTTTGGAAGTGGCCGTGAGTTTTCTAGGCCACAGTTGTCAGCATGAACCTGTAGATAGGACATGGAGATGGGAGTATTTCCATCCCTCACAGCCATGTTTTTCATGGGGGTTGTGAGGAGGCTTCTGCCAGTGCAATCCCCAAATCCTATAGCACTATGGGAGCCTATCCTGAGTTTGAAGTGGCCCGTGGTTTGAAACCCTCAGGGTGGCAGCTGCAGGGGCCTTTGGAGTCAGAGCGCCCTGCCTGGGACGGGACCGGAGCTGCCGCTCCCTGCAAGTGCTGGGTGGGTGACCCTGAGCCGTTGTTGGGGTCCCACAGGTGCACCCCGACCTCGCCATCTCCTCCAAGGCCATGAGCATCATGAACTCGTTTGTGAACGACATGCTGGAGCGGCTGGCGGCGGAGGCGTCGCGCCTGGCGCAGTACGGGCACCGTGCCACCCTCACCAGCCGCGAGGTGCAGGCGGCCGCGCGCCTGCTGCTGCCCGGGGAGCTGGCCCGGCACGCCGTGTCTGAGGGCACCAAGGCTGTCACCAAGTACACCAGCAGCAAGTGAGCCCGGGGACACCAGCCCGGGCACGCCGCCTTCTCCTGCGGGAGAAGCGTTGGCTCTTTGTCAGCTGAGAAAGCAGAATTGTCTGCCTGCAAATAAAAAACGCATAGAAATACAGGGCGTGTCTTTAATCTGGGCATCACAGATTGTGAGGCAGCTTAAACTGTGGCCATGGGGATTGTTTGGGAGGGCTGGAAGAGCAGCTGCTGTTGGAAAACAACCATGTGCAACTAGGAGCAGGACTGCAGGGTGTGCCTGGGCAAAGCTGGGGTCCTTATGGGAAGTGTGGTGGGTTCTCTGCAGTTCTCCAAACTCCTTACTATGGCTTTCAGATTCCTGACTGCTGAAACGTCTGCTGCCTTTGACTTTCCTGCTGTTCTTCAACTGCTTCCGGACTGCCCAAGTTATCAGTTTATACTGGTCAGAGGAGATGCTAAATCTCCCTGGGCCAATAGGATCAAATTAGCACTGGGTAAAGGGTTCTTCTTATGTTTATAAACTATTTTCAAAGCTGTTGTCCTTTGTTTGGTTGTTTGTTGTTTTTTTTCTGGTGGATTGTGCAAATGAGAATTTTTCCTTGTTAGCTGTTTTTATGTATTGTTTTTGTTATTGCTGTTGTTTAGTTTGAGTTTTGCTGGTTTTGTGGGGTGGGGTTTTTTTTGTTTTTTTGGGTTTTTTTTTCCTTCTGGTGAAAACTTTCTCCTTTTCTGAGCTAGGCAGAACAAAATGAGCTTCACTGACAAGAAAAAAAAACTGTTTTCTTTCTAGACATGTGGCCATCACCTCTACTTGCTTCCAGTGCCTCTAAAGAGAGCTTTATCTTGCAGGGCTCTAAACTGGGCTAGGGCTGGGTGTGCTGTGTTCTGCCTTGGACCATCATGTTAATGCCTGGCCCTCACTGCCTTTCCTTGTATCCCCAAGGGCTCCTCACAGGAGGGATCCAGGGCCCTGAAGGGAGCATGGACACCCTTCTTTTGTCTGTCCACGTGGAGCCCACAGGGCTGAGTGCTGTGTCCAGAGCCATACACCTGTGGTGGCTGGCTTGGCTGCTCCATAAGCACAGCAACTTCCTGTGATGTGTGGGGATTCCTGGATTCTTGCACAGAGCTGCTGCCTCAGGGTCTGTGCTGGAGTGAAGAAAACATGTGGTCCATGTTCTGGGTGGAGATCATAGAATAGTTTCAGTTGAAAGGGCCCTTAAAGTCCATCCAGGTCCCCCTCCCTGCCACAGGCAGGGACACCTTCTGCTCCTCCAGGTTGCTCCAAGCCCTGTCCAGCCTGGCTTTGGGTGCTTGGGCATCTGTAACTTCTCTGGACAATCTGCTGCAGTGTCTTTTGTCAGCTTCAGGGTGGAACTGGATGCCTGGTTCTAATGTCTTATCTTCACAGCCACTATCAGGGTAGGAGTACCAGGAGGAACCAGAGCTGTGTTAACCTTCAAGGTGACAGTGAATGGGGCAATCCTGGATTTCCTCAGCCTGTGAGGTGCTGCTGAGTCTCATGAGCTGTGACAGATGCTGATCTCTGGTGGGGGCCAGCCTAGATGTACGTGGTGCTTCTAGAGAGGGCACAGGAGGCAGCAGCACTGAGCATCTCCCCTTCAGCTCCATCCCTGCTGCTGGGGCTGGCTGGGAGAGAGCCAAGGGCTGTGCTGGGTGCTCTGTTTCCTTTTGGCTGGAGGACAGCATGGAGAGGGATCTGTTTTCCTCCCTCCAGCCCTCGTGGCGGCTGTGCTGTGGGGAGAGGTGCGTGCTGGCACTAGGGGCAGAGAGCTGTGGGGATGCTCAGCTGCGGGCATGGGGTGGAGGCAGGCCTGGGAGAGTCCAGCCCAAGAGTGGGAGGCCTAAGGTGAGGAGGGGCAAGTTTTGCCTTGATCCATAATTGTGGAAAGGAACTAGGTTCTAAACATACCTGCAAGTGAGATTAAAACATAAATGAGGTGACATGTTGGAAAACAAAGCGATAATTTAACTTTTTTTTTTTTTCTTCATGAAAGAGAAAAGCAAAGAAAATAGAAAAGAAGGAAAATCCCAAGAATAATTTTGAAAGGCACAGGAAAGGGGTGACCACCACCACGGGTCCAGAGCTGGCCTATAGAGTGCAACGGGGGAGATCTGTGTTGGTGTGATGCGTCTTTCCCTGGCGGGCTCCCTCTGAGAGCTGGCAAGTGAGCCAGAGAGGGAGCAGAGCCACGGCAGCCAGGCCAGCAGAGTGGGGCACGAAAAGCCTCGTACAAGCAGCCGGGACAGCCAAGGACAGCAAAGACTTTGCCGTTTTGTAGACTTTGCAGCTCCTGTGGCAGGTCAGGTACTTGGTTACAGAGGATGTTGAACGTGGCAAGGTCACAGCCACTCCTATCAACAGCAGGCGTGCGGGGATCCTCATCTTCGCTTGCTAAAATATCATTGGCTACTCCTTAGTATCTGGCCGAGTTTGCCTGATGTATCAAAAGTTTATTACTTGCTTGCCTCATGTATCACCTCTTTTAATGACCAGCTTTTAATCACAAGCTCTTTTAATGACCAGTAAAGGGGGTGCCTCATTTTCTAAAATAAACCCGTTTCTGTTCGTTGTTGGAGGCAGATCAAAAGTTTACCTTACAAACCTTTATCTTTGAGGAGGCAATGGAGAAACATTCCTTACTTTTGACTCATTCACTACAGCTTATTTCCCTTCCCAGCAGCTGCTCAGCCGTGCTCTGAGGGATGGGCAGCGCTGGGGAGCCCGGAGCTGCAGTTCTGCTCCTGCCCTGGAGATGGGTCCCTCTGCCTGCCTGAGCTCGGATCCATCCTTGCGGAGTGAGCGGAAGCTCGGATGGGAGCAGCTGCCCGGCTCCCTCTGCCTGAGCCCAGCTCGGAGCACTGCCCGGGGACCGTGCCCCTTCCTCTGCCGGCAGCCCAGCTCGCTCGGCAGGTGCCTGGCTGCCTCTGTGGATAAGGTGCTGGTTTATGAGAAGTCAGAGCGGTCTCCTGCAGATGTCTGATAGAGCATCGAGCACCGGGTGAGCCCCGGAGGAGTGAGGATTTAAAGCTGTAGGTACTTGGTTCTCCAGTGCTCCACTTTTGCATCCTGCTTCGTGTCACATCCTCCTCTTCCCCCCCACCCCCAACAAAGACCTGAAGAATGGAGCTGCGGATTGGGCTCACACTCCTCTTACTGTATCCCTGCATTCCTCGGAGATGTGGCAGGGAGTGCAGATGCACGAGGGGCAGGAGGAGGAGGCGGTTGCTCTTGGAACGAGGGAGTTCTGCGCTGAACCTGCCCACAGTTCTGTTCACGTTTCCCGTGTGAGGGGTTTCTCTCTCGCTGTGCAGGAATCCTGCTCGTTTCCCCACAGCAGAGTCCCCCTGGAGCTGCCCGGGATGCTGCACAGGATGTCATGCAGGCTATCTTTTCCTGAGGGCTCACCCTGTGTTTAGCTGATGAGCTTTGCTGAGAGCCGTGCCGCAGCTCAGCTGCTTTCACACTGGGCTTGTGGCTCCCGTGAGATGTCGGCAAAGTTGCTTTTAGGCTCTGCTGCCCAGTGACAGAGCACTGGTCACTGTGAGAACAACTCAGAAGTACTCAGGTTACACTGTGAGCAAAACTTGGAGCCTGTGCAGGCTCTCTTCCAAAGCGTCCTGGGGCTGCCTTGCTCCAGAGAGTCTGTCTTTGTCCAGGTCTGCCTATGTCCTTGCAGGTCTCACAGCAAGTTTTTAGTGCTGCAACCCTAAATCACTCTCATGTTGCATGTCCCTGGCCCCACTTCTATGTTCTGACTAAGCTATGCATGTCTGTGGGCTAGAAACAATATTTTTCCTTTGTCCCTTTCTTCAACCTCTCAAAAAGAGCACTACAGTGCTGAATGAGGATTCATGAAAATATCCCCAGTGCCTGTGCTCCGTTTTCTGTTCTCTAAGAGAGCAGTGGCTGGAGAGCATGTGCTCTTTCTCTGGCACAGAGGAGGAGCAGCAGGCAGAGATCCCTGAGGTCTCTTAGGAGTGCAGCACGTTTGAGGGGAGGGAGCTTTTTGGGCAGTGGAGGCTGGCAGCAGTGTCCAGACCTTGTGTATTCCCCTTGCCATGTAGTGTCCCTTGGCAGCCGTGCTGCCAGGTGGTGCTCTGGTGTCTCATCAGACACTGCTCCAAACAGCACAGGAGGAAAATGAGCTGGTGATGGATAGCCCTGGTGATGCCAAAGCTGTTAAAATATGAACCTCTGATGTACAGCTGGGGTTGCAGCAATGGACTCTCGCCCTCTCTGTGCTCAGCTGCTTGCGTTGGGGATGGTGCTGCTCTGGGTCACCTCCCTTCTCTTTAGGCTGGGCTTGGCTGCTGTCTCTGAGGGCTGGCAGCTTGTGGTGGCCTTGGAATCCCTGCGTGGAGGAAAGGAGATGGGGCATGCTCAAAGGTCAGGCAGGCACTCCCCCATCACCCATGCACTGTTGCCTGAAGCTCTGTCACTCCTGATGCTGCCAGTGCTGTAATGGCACCGAGCATCCTTGGAGCTGCCTCCACCTGTGTTCTCCCCAGCAAGGATTGCTACAAAGAGTTCGTTTCCTTGGGGTTTTTCTCTCTTTTCATGCTCTGTGTGCTCTGGCTTCCCACAATAATGCTGCTTTCTTCATCTCCCCTGCTCAGGATTGTGCCTGGGGGTGTGGGAGGTACTGAGACCAAGTGAAAAAGTAAATCCTATGTTGTAACCACAACTTCCAGGGCCATATAAAGGGGGTCAGGAGGCATCCTTTTTCTCATCCTTGTCCTCTCCCAGTGTAGCCCTGCATTACCTGATGCCAAACTGGGCAGAGACAGGAAGAGACCCTGACCTGGAGCCCTGGGGAGACTCGCAGTGTCCCTGGTGCCTGGAAGCTGCTCTGGGGCTGGAGGTCACTGGGATGGGGACTCAAGGTGTGCTCTCACATAAGCAATATGGCTGGCCTGGGCTCAGCACAGGTGCCCTGTTTGGCCTCTGAGGAAGAGGATGCTGCCATGTGGCCCCATGGCGGGTGTGGGGCTGGAGGAGAG